ACGACTTTTTCCAACAAGACCGTGCTGCTGTCGTCATTAGTGGGTTTTTGTCTTCGATCCTGAAGGGTGCTGCAGGTATCCCACAAGGAAGACGATTCTCAATGCACGCTTTCATGTCGTCAATGCATGTTTTGAGACAAGTAATGGATGCAGTGGCTGCCACATCACGTACAGTTTTGCCTGACTTCGCTAGGGCAGCAATGGAAGGTTGTTGGACTAGATTCATCCCAGCCCCTCCGCCTGAGGCGCCTCCCTGTTCGGTTGATCCGAAGCAGTGTGCAACTGCCATTAAGCATTTCCTTAACCGTGGTGAAGTTAGTTCTGCCCGTAGTTTCGCGGTTCATGCCCTGGACAGCATGGAGTCTTTTCATGACAGGGTGCTTTGCATGGAGCTTTTGGGGGTTGAGTCGGTTGGGCCGTTGTTTTTTGTAGATGACGTCTCTGCACCTTATCCAGATGCGCAATCTGTGGAAGCAGTCTTGAACGAAGGCTTAGGAAAGTATGCACGGTTAGCCAAAGCAGCTTTCAACTTTGGTCCGTCCAAAACAGCCACCATGGCATGCTACGATGCCCCGCCGGCCGAAGGGCATGTGCCTGTGTATAAGCTTCTTGGAATTGAAATTGACCCTTGGTTCTCTTTTGCTACGCGGTTGGACAAGGTTTGTATCCTAGGACGAACTGCCTTTGAAGAATTTTTCCATATGGCGGAGTCCACTGGCCTCTCCATCCCAGTGGAAGCATTAGAAGTGCCGCGAAGAGTCGAGCCTGCAGTGCTTTACGGGGCCGAGTTGTTGGCGCTCGCACCCGGAGCAGAGACAAGATTGAACGAGTTGCAAGCTGCTTGGGCAAGAACCATCCTCGGTGCTCGAAATGACCTGCGTAATGTAAGTGCTCGATTAAGTGTCAGAGAACTAGGTTGGCCGCTGCGCCTTGGAACTGCAATGATTTTGAAAACTGTTTTGTTTTTTGATAAAATCTTGTTGTTACCTGTTCAGCATCCGGTGAAGACGCTGTTAAGATTGGCCTTGCAATTACCTTGTGAGTCCTGGGCCAGTCGAGCACGTGCTCTGATGAATGACCCCCGCCTGTCGAGCCCCATTCCTACAATCTTCGAATGGGGTGAAATCCCGGATGGCCTACTGCAGATCGCAGGGCAAGATGCTGCAGTCAGAAAAAATGCACTACGGCGATACAAAGTGGGAGTTGTTTTGCCGCTGCTCACAGCTTTGGACAAGGAAGCATACCTGCAAGCTGCCTCTAAACAGCTCCCAGGCCTTGATTGCTGCTTTAATCAGCTGGATGACAACCCGGAGAGCCTGGTTCATCAGCTGCTCAGTATAGGCCACAAGACCTCATGGCGCAATGTCAGACTTTGGTGGCTGATCCGCATCACGGGAAAGTGGCCTGTGCCACTCTTTGCGACGGGCAACTGTGTGACCACACTTCCCCATTGCTGCCGTTTCGGATTAGATGAGATTGCGTTGAACCACGTGCTGGGCCACACATGTTGTGAAACAGCAGAGGCGTACGAAATGCAAAGCATCTTCAGTGCCCGGCAAACTGCTGACGAATTGCTCGACAACATCTGCTTCGTGAGGCACAGAGTGGGCCAGCAGCTGAGAGCTGCATATTGGGAGGGCCGTGGTTCAGCTAGCCTCCATGAAGGAAGGCTTGAGACATTGGGCGCGAGACGTGGCCACTGAGCGACTTGGTGAGTAGAAAAAGAAATATGCCGCATTATGGGATGTGTTCAGATTCACACCCATACGAGCACGCTGCTACGACCTGCAAGGCTTGACCTTGAGGTACCGAGCACCATGCTTGCCTGACCCCTCTAGTTCGTACTGCTGAGGGACAGGCTGGATCGAACATTTGAACATTTGAACATTTGGCGAGCTGCCCAGACGACTGCTCCACTGCTAGCAGCTACGAAGGCGGCAGTGGCGGCAGCATGATGCCGAAGGTGGTCAGCATGAGTGCTGGAATGATGACGAGGGTGAGGACGGGAGGGAACGAGGAAGAGGAGGAGGAGGAGGAGGAAAACGATAATGATGAAGGCGGTGGGCGGGTGGTGTTCGTGGTGGGTGTTGGTGAGGAAGAAACTACTACACTTCACACAAAACCTTTTTCAACCCTGTGACAAACAGGACTCCAAGCGACCAAACGTATGTCGAAGATTCAAAGTCTGCCAAAACTTGCAAGCTGAAGTATTGATAATCGACGGTCCCACCACTTGGACCGAGCCGGGGCTTGCTTCCGGGGCTCTGGCAAGACCTGCTCGTATTGTGGCAAGGGCACAGGGGACTGGAGCTCCTTTCCAGCGCAGTTTCAACTGGCTCCAAGCCAGGACTCAAAGGCAACGAAGGAATTCATTGCAAACCAAGACGCTGAACGATTGAGGTTGGCTCATATCGTTCACGGATATGTAACTAAAGTATATAATTACAGTTACACAGAGATGCAGCCTCGAATGACAACGCTGGAACTGCAAAAAGGTCCTGCAGCGGATGCTCGTGAGATGTCGGGCTTGGACTCCACCTGATTTCCGGCGTGGGAGCTGCGGTTTAAGCTCTCGCAACTCGGACTTGTCAGACGAGGTCTCGATCGGGTGCAGGTTTAGGGTTCAGCGTGCATTGTGCACCAGGTAGATGCCCCAACTCACCATTTTGCGGCGCGTGGGGCTTTTGCTGGCGTAGAATGACCTTTTATGATATGTTCTTTCGGTCTCTGTCTTCGTGGGCACGGACGGGTGTGTGTGCCGTGCCCCCAAATTATCAACACGGCCATAGGATCTTACGGGATTTCGGGCAGCTTGAAAACAGTTGTGCCGAACCGGGATGGATCCCGTCGGCATCAGCTGAACACTTTGTGATTCTGCTAAATGGATGGGATATCGGGTTCCCGCAAATCTGCCGAAGTATGAAGCAGAAATTGCAAAACGTCCGCGGACTGCAGTTGAGCTGCATGTGCGTCAAATCCAACTCTCTAAAAACATCTGAACTCCGCGTACCAGCGCCTACTGTCCGCGTACCAGCGCCTACTGTCATATTGCTTGTGCATCTTGTCTAGGAAGGGATCAACACTCTACCTACCCGCAAGACATTTGACATTCACTTGAAATTGGCGTTCAAGAGCTGGCACTGGCACAGTAAACTAAAGTTAATAGCATGGGAAGTTGATGGAACATACGTGGGGCTGCTTGGAACTTCCATTCAAGCTATATATATATATATATATATAATACATATCCAAACGTATTAATACGAATCCTGCATGGGATTTCCAAAGCACATCACAATGAGTAACCCAAAATCTGTACAAGGCCCCTGTCTGTACCTGGCTTCAGACTTTGGAAACCAACATATGCGCATTGTACCGGTTTCAGATCAGCAACCCCTCACCGTAGTATCGAGCTGCAGACATCTGCGTGTAGGGTTCCGGCGTCTGCGGCTGGTGCCACAGCGGTTGCGGCGACTGGGGGGAATAGGGGTAGACAGGGTACTGCGGGGTACGCTGGGGCGACAACGCTTGCTGAGGCAGGAGGTGCGGCGGCAAAACAGGCGTCGCAGAGGCAGAGGGAGTGGGGAAGCTGGGCTGTGCGGGTGTCGGCTGCGTGGCCAGGGGCGGCTGGGGGGGTTGCAACACAGGCAGAGCTGGAGTGTTCTGCCCAAGATACGCCTGGGCGTGCGCTTGGCCAGCGTGAGCAGGAGGTACTCTCTGCGAAGCTTCGGGCACCGGCTGTGGGGTTGGCAGGCTGGGAGCCTGAATTAATTGCTGCAGCAACAATGGGCTGGGCTCGGACGGGTATGGTGGCGGGGATTGAGCCCGCTCGGGCGTTCGGTCAGGGCTTCCAAGTACCTCCGTGATACCGGGAAAGTACCCAGTCCTTGGATCAAAGATGCAGGCTCTCCGCATTGTAAACAATCAACAAAATAACAAGCTTTAAGGGCTTTATAAGGTTTGGCCCAGGCCTGCTTGCGGGGAAGGGGGCATGTTGGAGACCATGGGAACAATCAGCCCTTCCGCGGCTCTGGACGTGACGTGCTGATACCTAATGCCCAGTAGTCACTTAGTCACCGTCTGGCAACCACCGCGTCTCCGCGAACAAACACTGAGCATGGAAAGACACGCTATACGCTTGCATACAATCCAACACGGCTGGTTTCTGACACGGACATCCGCTACATGTCTCACTGTCGTCGTACTTGGCATGCGCAGCTTTGCGCAAGGATAACTTGCCCGGCTCCGGTGTGCTAGGTCCTAGACTTTGGCAGGATGGTGCAAATCGAAAGCTGCCGCTCAAACTGAAATCCTGAGTTCGCGAGTACAGAAATCCAAACCAAGAGGCTCGACGAAGTCTACAGGATCACCAGCTTCCTCTTCATCCTCTTCCTCCGGCAGATTTCTTGGGCGACTCTTCGAACTTGACTGACGAGTGTCATCATGGCACAGTGTTGCAAGTGGTTGTGGTTGGCTACCAATGCTACCAGCAGCGAGATCCATCTTGTCCTGCACACAGCATATCTCCTGTTTAGATACTCATCTAGGCCCAAGTCTAGGCAGTCTTGTCGAAATTGATGGAATTTCGGAACTCAGGGTGCAAATCGAGAGCCCTGGCAAAGCACCGTCGTTTTAGTGCTGCTCGCAGCCCTACCTGGACGTCTCGCTTACTGCATTTCTCGACCTGTGTCCTTAGAATAGTCCGGATCCTAAGGCAACAGTTCAACGATGAACAATTATTTCCCACAGCTGTGTCCTCATTTTGCGAATCCTTGACAATGCTTCATCTTTGGAAGGATTTCCTACAAAGCCCGAAACGCAAACTGCATGCTTGCCGGGACAATGCTAAGTTCCCTGTGGGTCAACAGGTCGAGATTTCAGCGTCCCAGTCGGGTGAAACTGCAACACCAAACTACTCGGTGCAGCCCTGCCCAACACTCGAATGATAGGTGCTTGCGTACTAACCCCTTTTTGCTTTATGGAGAGAACATGGGCAGGGGCTAGCGGCGAACGACGCGGCGTAGGCTGATGCTGCCGGCGCGCGCAGGTGCCTAGGATGCTCTACATGCAAAGCCGGAATGAGTTTCTCATGGGAATAACTTTGGCCCAACCATCGGATACTTCAAAGAGTAGTGAGTAATGCCACGATCAAAGTCGTAGGTCGTAGGGCGTAGAGTCGGCGTGGACTGAGCGCTGGACTGGCGCCTCCTTGGGTGTAGATTTCCCCTTTCCGCCGGCGCTCTTGCCTGCAGCCAAGCGGACAACCCTTCGCGCTGAAGCGATTCCTCGCTGGCGGCTCTTGTCTTGCAATCTTGCACACGGATTTCTGTACAATGCTTAGCTGACCGCAATTTCATGCCCGGCCTTTGGCAAACTTGGTCTTCGGCCGAGAGCTCGCAGCCTCGGCTCACAACAGCCGTGTATGGCAAGAGCGACCCGTCACCACCATTCCCGATTCCAGAGAACACATTGCTTTCAGTTTGACTCTCTCATCTGTGACAGTGACAGTCGGAGATACATACGACTGGTAGAAAATGGTAGAAACGTGACAACAAGAGTTCGGCTTCCCGGCTCGCTTTTCAGATTTACACCGCAAGCTGCATGCTCGAGTCGCCGCTCACAAGCTGCACTGCAAATTGCTTCACATGCAAAACGCTTCGATCGCCAAGTGAAGGAACTTGCCGACGACAGACACAGCTGAGCTTCGTGTACATGTCGCTAGAGAGCCGGCACGAGGGAGAGGGAGAGAGAGCGTGCCCTGGGAGAATCTTGGCAGCAACTTCGTACGAGCAAGCTGCAGGTTCGTTGGTCCCCGTGCTGCTTGAAGCAGTCTTGCCTGAAGCTCAGCTGCTTTCTACAGGCGGGTCAGGGTGCTGGGCCGTGCGCAATATTGTTGCTGCTGCTGGTAGAAGTATGCGCAGTATCCGCAGTAGTCGCGGTCGGCCTACTGGTGGTACACGTGCAGCAGCAGCAGCAGCAGCCGCAGTAGTAGTGGTGGAAGAAGGAGGCATGAACAGCAGTAGCAGTGTGGCGCGGCGAAGCGCCTCTAATGCATCTTGCATCAGCACTACCGCTGACTGCTGGCGCTCGCCGTTCTGAGCCGTTGATAAGACAGCTTGCTCACTTTCACTAGCAACAGCTTTGGTGACACTGCGCATAAGCACCGACCTTAGGAGTGCTGTGCATGTATGTGCTACCTGCCTCCATAGAGACGAAACAAACTGCCCTGCGTGTTGCTTTAAATCCGACTGCACATATCTCAGTATCGTACATGCGCTCCCAGTACTCTCCGTGGCATGTGATCAAGTGAATCAACTGAAGAAGTTGTTTCGGCTATACTGCTGTCACGACGAGTCACCACCGCCAGTACCACCGCCACCACAAAAAAGACAGAATCATTCAGATCAAACATAATGCACGGCAGCACCTACCATCATGACCTTACATACATATCCACGAAGAGTATGAATGCCGTCAGGCTCACCTTCCTCCAAACCCCTCCACAACATCCGCGAACCTCTTTTCGCGAGCCGTCGCTGGGACTTTTCGCGTGCTTTGGCCTCCTGCAAGAAACCGCATGCTCAGATCTTCGATCATGACGCGGTATTTCTCAGTCAAGACTTGGACTTGCCCTCAAACGTGACTCTGGAGTGAGAAGTCAGGAGGATAAGCAACTGCCAGCACAAGCCCTGCATGCACCACTACGAACCACCTTCACGTCTTGCATCATTTTCAGACTCCTACACAGCGGCATGATGGAGTCCTTGATCTCTGCCTTCGTCATTCCAAACCTGGGAAAGATCCAGACTGGTCCATGGGTCGGGGGCACTCTGTTGAAGTGGCAAATTGGATTTTGGGTCGGTGAAGCTGGCAGCACCATCATCTCGACATGATTCTCCATATCATCAGGTACAGTAGGTGCCCCTTCCTCCAAGCCTGACCTCAAATGGAGAACTAAACACGAGCCATCTTGAAACTCCAGTTGGGCGGCCATCGATGCTTCTTGCCCCTCTGGTGTGGTACGCCAGACGCTTCCTGGAAAAGCTCGGTTGTCGAGGGTTTTCAAGTCTGCTCTATGGGCTTTTCGGCACTCACTCGGAGCGTTGCTAAATAACGACAGTGTGTGGAAGAAACATGCAAAGGCCCCCAGACGAACTCTGAAGATCCCGCCTCCGCCCTCGGTGCAGTCGCGGTATCCACGGCTGGGAAACGCGACATATCCTAAGGATCACGAAGAAAGAGCTTCGGAGCATCAGAATCCAAACTGGGATGAAGATGCAGATAAGGAGGAGCAAAAGAATGAGGACGCTTCAGCATTGAAAGAAAGATTGGTGCTGACGATCACATCCTCCAGATCATCATGACCGGAAGCATGGTCAAAGCCAAGTTGAATCTGATATGTGATGATAGTGGTGGTGGATAGGCTTGCGAACATGATCAATGTTTGTTCGACCGTTGGCTGCTACAGTTCCGATTGCGATGTTAGTTGCTCTGCTGCTACTTCAATGCATATGCTAGCGGGGCTATCTGAGAAAGGAGGAATCGGCATGTCTGATTAAGAACTGACAAATGATTTGCATACTGGGAACCTTGAGCTTGGATGCGGGGTTACGCGTTACCGACTTTCTAACGAGGTTCCTTTCCATGTCCAGGACGATGGCGCAACTCTCGATGAGTGAGGCTACTTGTGTAACGGGTGCTGCGGCAGTCAGGACAGCGCATGCACAAGCAGTGTTGCGGACCACTGCGACATTGCTGACGCCCACTGCATCCCAGTGTCGGGTCCATTGGCCCAGTCATCGCCGAAAGGGTCACCTGGCAGCACAAGGTGAGTAGACTAGGGGTAAACTGGAAAATCTAGCTGAGCGCAGTTGCCTTGTTCGATGGATGCATGTTCACAATGTAAACACTACTCGATCGTCAACTCCGGGCAAGCACGAGGATGCTCGACATTCTCCTGGCGATATGCATGCGTACTCTAGGTCCTCTAGGTTGAACCCGAGTCCGTGAACCAGCAGCTCGAGGCATTTGACACGATGAGCCGCAAAAAGACTGAATGACTTCATTGCCAACAGCCGAATAGAACGTGAATGCAGCAAAGCTAGAATGAACTCAGAATGCCTTGAGGAAGTTCATAGCGGTGCACCCTCCCCCACGGCCACCGATCCAAGACTGGCCTACGAATGGCTCCGCCGGGAGCGTAGCGGCGAACTCGGGCATGGGCCCATCATAAGCAGCTTCCTTCAACATGTTCACTCACAAGGAGGAACCACACCGACACTCCAACAACAGAACCGCCACCAACAACACAGCCAACAATAACACAACAACAGCAACAGCAACAGCAACAGCAGCAACAACAACAACAACAACAACAGCAGCAACAGCAACAGCAACAGCAACAGCAGCAACAGCAGCAACAGCAGCAAAAGCAGCAACAGCAGCAAAAGCAGCAAAAGAAGCAACAACAAGAACAACAAGAACAAGAACAGGAACAAGAACAACAACAACAACCAACAACAACCAACAACAACCAACAACAACAACACCACCACCACCACCACCACCACCACCACCACCGCCACCACCACCACCAACAACAACAGCAGCAAAAACTGCAAAAACAACAAAAATAACAACAGCAACATGAAGAATAACAAGAACCAAACAACAGTAGCAAGAAGAGCACGATCAAGAGCAAGCACAAACACAACCGCAACAACCGCAACGATCGCAAAACCGCTACAACCACAGCAAAAGCCACAACACCAACAGCACCAGCACCAGCACGGACACCGACACCAACGACGACGACGACCACGACCACAACAACAACAACAACAACATCAGCAGCAGCAGCAACAGCAACAGCAACAGCAACAGCAACAGCGACAGCGACAGCGACAGCGACAGCAACAACAGAAACAACAGCAACAACACCACCAACAACAACCGCAACCACACACCACCAACAGCAACCACAATAACAGCAGCACTAACAGCAACAACAGCAAACACGACCAGAACCACCACCACAGCAGCCACAAGCACCACAAGCACCACAAGCTCCACAAGCTCGACAAGCCCCACAAGCACCATAAGCACCACAACCACAACAACAACATCAACATACTACAACCACAACCGCAACCACAACCACCACAGCCAACGCCACATTGCAGCTACAACCACAACAACAACAACCACCACAGCAACAGCCAGAGCCACAATCTCAACGACAACGACAACAATAAAAACGACGGTGGCGACGCCAATCAACGACTCACCCCCACTACCGCACCTCCAACAGCTCACGCTAAGCAACACATCCCAAGCATACCTTTCAACAGCGGCCAGGCGAACTACGCGCCCTCTCTCCAGTTGTCCTCAAGGTCCTTTACCTCTTGCGCTGCAAAACTTACTCGCTTGCCTCGTCAAAGTCATCCAGTGGCAGGAAGCCGTCATCGAGATCATGCACGGGCACCTCTTGCGATGCTGCGAGGCCAACCAAGAGGTGTCTCGAGGGGACATGAAGTTGGAACTGAGTCAGGTTCTGAGCAGCGATTGCGAACTATCTGCAAGGAGCCCCAGCAAAGCGCTGGCCACCAAGACCTTCCGCCCGCGTCGGCAGCATGTAATACTGTAACATTTACTAGCGAGTAGAGTAGTTCACGGCGTTGCAGTAAGGTCGTACCTTGAGTCCTTCCACAAACTGGTAAAGTGATGTTATACCGCTCTAGCCGCCTATGTCTGCTTTGTGACTCCGCGGACATGAGGTCATTAGTGCTGTTCGCCGCCTCCCCAGGTTAAACTCTGAGAGATGCGAGCGAGCAATCTCGGACGATGTTCAGCCTAGCATGGAATTGAGGCGTTAGTTCCAGGCAGTGCTGCCTCCCAGCGACCCCGCATCCCATAGCAAGAAGGATTCTGCAGAGTGTTATGGGGAATTAAGCAGGTGGCCTCGAACTGGGATCGTGCAGTGCTCGAGCGAAGCTCTGCAGCCTCCAAGCAAGCCCCGGGCCCGAGAAGCAAGCTCTCACGAAAGCACCGCAAACACAAGCTCTACGTGTCACTGTCTAGGATGGTCGGAGGAGGTTGAATGCTGTCGAAGGGAGAGCGGCCATGAAATCCACTCAAACTGCAACTGCACAGGCCGAGGATGGGGTTTCGGGGATTGTGGCATGAAAGGGCTCCGCTGAGGCATTGGACTTCAGAATTCGGAGATCCCTTGTTGCCTTGGCATCTAAGAGAATCTATGACCTTGAGCGCGCAGCTTCCTCCAGCCTACATTACTCTACACAGGCTTGGCTGTAGTACACGAACAAGAAAGTCTTCACAGAAATTGGGTGACATAGGTGGACAGTGGGCGAGGGCAGGCTGAAGATGGACCTGACAGCTCTCCCTACCGATACATCTGGCAAAGCTCCTTGCATCATTTGCTGATCCACCTCAACACCACGCCGGAAGCTTGACTCGTGATCCTGCTTCTACCTCAGAATACGCCTCCTCGGGTGGAAGGTCCTCCAGGCCAAGCCTATCCAGTTCGTTGGTGCTGTCCTGAAATGGCTGCCCCAGCTCTCTGAAGAATTGCCCACAGCTCGGACAAGGCGAGTGAAGCACATGTAGTAGTGTGACTAGCTACCTATCTGCCGGGAATGCCGGCTAGCCATGGATCTGTCATAACCACGGACCTGTCGATCTATGGGTCTATTTATTTATGTGTCTATCTGTCTATCTATCTTTCTACCGACGATTCTGCCTATCTTTCGGTCGATGTATCTACTATCCGGCACCCATCCATCCATCCAGCTAGCTGACGAGGTACCTACTTTCTGCCTATCTATTACAAGCGGCTTGTAAGGATGTCTACTAACAAGCCTAACATCACCTTCACGAAATCCCTTCTGGCCAAGCATCAACGAGCTTTGGTCTGCGTCGCAGCGTGGAATCCCGAGCGGCCTGCTTGCAGATCCCTGTTACAACATATGAAAACCTCAATCGATGGTGTCGCACCTTAACAATCTCGAATCCTCTCAACCCAATCAAACGCTCCGCCCGAGAGGGAGTTCCAAACCCTGAATCGCCTCCTACAGCATCCAGTCTCGCAAGTGGCCTCAGGCAACTTCGGCTTTACAGCCTCAGCAGCCGCCTCGTCATCCTGCAAGAGGCAGCTTTCGCTTGCAATGGCGAGCCGTAAGCCTTTTCAGCTATCGCCCGGCACCACACGAAACAGAAGAGCACTGAGGTAAATTGTCGACTGTGTTGAAGCCTTATCGCACCCGAAATGCCCAGGAACTAACGCCTCCACGGGGAAGGTAGAACATTATGTTCGGATGTCGCATCATCCTTTGCCGAGCAAGCAACTGATAACATCTACATGAGCATTATATACGTCGGGCGGAAGTGTCTTATTTTTCGGTTCCTGAGGATTCGCGGAACAGTGCGGACATACCTAGACAGCGCTGCTGATCCTCTACCCAAGCTGTTCTGATCTGAGGCGGGGCGAGCAGGTAGCAGGCTTCGCGAGTTTTGGCTACAACTCCAAGACCGCTGGCTGACCTACAGTACGAGTTGCTATCCTTGTCCGCCCCCGTGGTACCACCACCAGGAGCACTTCGCGTAAAACCACCTGCCGATGCTCTGAGGGCCGGCAAAAACTCTTCGGGATTTGGGTGGGTGCGCCAGGCGCGTGTGAACTCTCTGTGTGTGTGTCTGTGTGTGTCTGTGTGTGTCTGTGCGTGTGTGTGTGTGTGTGTGTCTGTGTGTGTCTGTGTGTGTCTGTGTGTGTCTGTGTGTGTCTGTGTGTGTGTGTGTGTGTCTATGTGTGTCTGTGTGTGTCTGTGTGTGTGTGTGTCTGTCTGTGTGTGTGTGTGTGTGTGTCTGTCTGTGTGTGCGTCTGTGTGTGTGTGTGTGTCTGTGTGTCTGTGTCTGTATCTGTATCTGTGTCTGTGTGCGTGTTCTTGGGCCTGCAGGCTGCCACGCTACATATGTACTCGCTGACACTGGTGCGCCTTTTCACGGGTAAAGGAGCAGCAATCATAATTATACTGTGGTCGGCCGTCTGACTGTCAGCCCAGTGTCCAGGCATCTGTTCTGTTGATAAGGAACAAACAAGCACATGTCAGAGTTAGAATAGTGCGCCATATGGAAGCTACTTCCAGGAGCATCCGTCTCAGCTTATGTCCGAACAACTCGCTGCCGGGAAAATGACCTTCGGTGTGACATGGACCCCGCGATGACTTGCTGACAAAAGTCTCTTTTTGAACAAGCAAAGGGTTCTGTCTCGTTGCAAATCATCTCGCCCGATGCCTGCAAAACAGACCCCACTGAGAAACACGGTGCAGGAGCCCAAAGGCACAAGGACACAAAGCCCATCCCGCAGAAGAGTTCTCTGTACACATGGTCAAACGTTCGAAGACCCCAGCCCAAGACAAATTCATTGACTCGATTTGCCTTTGGTTCCCAATCATAAAACCGAAAATCTCGAAGGCATTGGCGGCCTACAGAGCGTCCGAGGTCTTCGGCCCAGGGCTGGCTGGGAACCTGCCCAAATCACGGAGACGTGATTCGGTTGCAGCGGTTCTTCTCGTGAGTAGCTGGGAGCAATCAGTAGAAGACTAGTGGTAGTGGTGGTGGTGGTGGTGGTGGTGGTGCTGGTGCTGGTGCTGGTGCTGGGTGGTAGTAGTGTAGATAGTAGTAGTAGTAGTAGTAGTAGTAGTAGTAGTAGTAGTAGTAGTAGTAGTAGTAGTAGTAGTGGTAGTGGTAGTAGTAGTAGTAGTAGTAGTAGTAGTAGTAGTAGTAGTAGTAGTACGCGCGTAGTGCATATTTGACGCTGCGTTGTCGTGCACGTCGCCCGCATAAAACACTGTGATTTCCGATGTACGCAGGACATGGCTTGTCTCAGTCAAGGGGGCGTGGAATTGCAGATCAGGATAGTTGTCAGCAGTTGATTCAGCAGTGTCGGATCATGTGTGTTGTCAGCAGTTACTTGAACTATGCAAGAAAAACCTTCATGCCAAGAGCTTCATCTAACTTTTTGTGATACACTTTTTGAAGCCTGAAGCCGAAACCTTCATGCCAACAGCTTCATCTGACTTTTTGTCGTATCTGTTCCCCGCCTCTCCCCCCCACCCCCCTCCCCCCAACTCCCCCAACCCCGAACCCCCCAACCCCCACCCTCCCCAAGCCAAGCCAAGCCAAAAATAAGTACAGAAAATCTATTCCAAGTCATAGGAAAAGCAAGGCCCTCATGGGAAAAGCAAGGCCCTCATAGGAAAAGCAAGGCCCTCATAGGAAAAGCAAGGCCCTCACAGGAAAAGCAAGGCCCTCATAGGAAAAGCAAGGCCTTCATAGGAAAAGCAAGGCCCCCGTACGAAATCCAAGGTCTCATCAAACCCAAAGCACAAAGACATCCCCGCTCTCAAGCTGAAGCCCAAATCCCAAAGATAGAATTCCTAAGTCAAGGTTTTCAGAATTCCACGCCCCCCCAGAGAATTAGTGAAATGTACGTGAAATGATGGACGAATCTTACGATAGAACCCTGAGAACCCTTGAGACACACTGCCTACGGGCCTCGGACACACCGATCTTTTTCGAGACAAAAACAGCCTGGTCGGCGAAGAAGCATGTCACCTGTGCGTCGGGACTTCTCTCTACGCACTCCCCCTCACTCCTCCCGACAAGAGAGGAGTGACACAATGGAGTCTGTCCGGAAAAGGAAAGGGAATCCCACTGTATCATGCTCTCGCGAAGCGGCTTAGGGACAAAAACTGGTCTAAAATTCGCCTACCCGACGAAATCCGAACTCATGCCGGAAACCTTCTTCGAAGGAAGATCATCAGGCGACTCCAGTATCCCCAATAATCAGTCATCAAAGAGGTGCCTATCTGCGCAGACTAGATCCACCCTTAAGGTTCCTAGAACTTAAAAGCCCAGCAACTTTCGCTGGTGATCGTAGGCATACCCCTCGATGAACACTTCAAGGCTTTTCTGCCCTTCACTGTGTGTCCTACCTTAACTTGAAAAAAGGTTCTCGCTGCAGCCACGGAGATACGACACTGAACCTCAATCGGAGGAAGAAGCTTCGCTGGCCCTCTCTAACCTAGCAAGATAATCCCCTACTAACCAATTGAATCCTTCCTGAACTTCAGAATCGTATCCCTCGACATCGATTGCGTAGCCAGACCTCCAAAAGGAAAACAAGATCCTGTCTCGATGGCGAATCCCCGGCACTAACGGGAAAGGTACGATACCTAGATCATCGGTCTGACTTCCACGCTCGATGCCTACAGTAGGCCTGCAACAGCGACCCCTGACAAGCCGTTTGCCAGTCTCCCAGATCCCAATCATCACAACACAAACGATCGCACAAAGAAGAGTCGATCCGTCGCATCCAGAGACAAAGAGGCTCCTAGCTGGGCTTGGGAAGGTAGGTGACCGGTCTCCAGGCTCATAGCAAGCAAGCTCCGAAGAACCCCTGAACTCAGCGACCCCTCCGACAGGGACTACATCACCTGCACTGGCACCCTGAATCAGGATCCACCAAATCAACACAACCCAGGCAACCCTTCTAAGGCCCTCCCTGAAACTCCCGTGGCTAGACTGAACTGGGCCAGCAAAACCGGAAGAGGAGCTAGTCCTTCGATCAGGCTGGCCGAAGTCTCCAACCTCAAGCCCTGCCTGAAACCTGGTCCAGTCCCCAATCATCAACCCTCGCACAATCTCTTCAGAAGCAGCCTGTGTCCAGCCCTCAAGCGGAACCGTTAGCACATCATCCGCATAATGTACTAGCAAACGTCCTTCGGCCGCTTCATACACCAGCACGTCACCCCTTGAGCCGAGCGGGCGCACATCAGATTCTTGTCGCATCACTGAAACAGACGATCCCAGAGACTCAACTGAAGGCTCCGTGGTTGAAGTCCCATCACTCGAATGCCAGCTCTCACTGGACTCTGAGTCCTCACCTCCTACGAGGTTCGCTGCAACTGGACCGTATCCCACAACCCTCAATTCCTCTTGATCCCTGAACCTCAACGGAATCTCATCTATGGTTGGATCGTCATCCCTATCTACGAACTCTACGACCCCTTCAGCTTCTCCAAAAGGGTAGCCCCTATAACCAGCCTGGAAAAAGGCTTCTGCTGCATCATAACTCTGCGCCCCATCAGCAATGTGCAGAGGTCCAGTGGCACTTAGCCACTGGATAATCGCATACACCGAGTGTTCTTTGAAACCGCGCGCTGCACAGCGTAAACAGCCAAACTCCCAGGTACGACCCCCTAAGCTAAAGAGCAGCTCACGCCCAGCAACCGCAAACAACTTCTGTAGGTAATGAACCCTCACACCCGGTGCCCACAGAACCTTCGGAAACCTAATACCCTCTGCAGCCTCATCCCTTCCTAATCCTGGACCAACCCTAGGCTGACCAGTCAAAAGGTAGGCTTCGGTGTCGAGTAACCATTGCGGCCCTTGATACAGCAGTGCATTCGGCCCCTCACGGAGCCAGTCAGCTAGCGCTCCAAGCAACCCGAAACGCACAGCACTCGAAGTCGCTCGCACACGCAACCAGCTGAAAGCCCTATATCCCAACATAGGAAGCAACACCCGCCCTACATTCGAAAACAACTGCAGCAAGAAGTGAACCTTCAACCACGAGCCAACCAACGGCCAATCCGCAAGTACATCCTCCTCAGGAGAGTAATCCTCGTAATAGAAGTGTTCTTCCCCCCAAGCAGGGGCAGCAAAACCATGACTTGATGAACTACCTCCTACCTGCACTCGTGGTGTAGGTGTCTCGCACCTCCCTTCTTCTCGACTTAGGGGAGCACTTGCATCCTGGAACCTAGAACCTTCGCTACGCGGAACCTGTGAATCTATGAGACCATGAGGCTCGGAAAACCCTTCTGAAGTGAGGCTGGAACTCCCCCCAATCTGGGCCTGCGGATCCCAAGGACCATGAGGCTCTGGAAACCCTACTGAAGTTAGGCTAGAACTCCCCCCAATCTGGGCCTGCGAATCCGACGGACCATGAGGCTCTGAAAACCCTCTTGAAGTGAAGCTGGAACTCCCCCCAATCTGGGCTTGCGAATCCGACGGACCATGAGGCTCTGAAAACCCTTCTGAAGCGGGTCTCACTCGCAACGGTCTCCATTGCACTCCCTGATCGGACGGAACTACTTGAAGCTCTACTTCCCAATCCTGGTCCTCAAACGCCTCTTGAGTCACCCCGGTATTCCTAATCCTCACCAAAAGACTAATCATGGGATTCCTGTGGAGCTCACGACTCACAATCCTCAACACAGTCCACTACGAAGCCTGAACTCCCAAACAATCCGCAAAGAAATCCCCAAACCGAACGAACATGTCCCCTAGTGAGCTCAGCTCAGTTGAGGCACTCACGGCCCCTGGAGTCTCACTTGGGACTGGATCTTCCTCCGGTCCTCTTGTAACCCAGTCTGGTGCTGGTCCGAATCTCTGGAGGAAAGGCGGAACCTCGACGATTCCACCCGCGGCAATTTGCTTCCGAAGGCGAGCCCTTTGAACAAATGTCAACCCAGAACGCCTCTCCGCCTCTTCAAGTTTCGCCTGGGCAACAAGCCATTCTTGCTCGTTAAACTGCGAGGAATCAGAACTCTCGGAAGAAGGCCCAACCCCCTCTAAGTCCCGACTCCCTGAAGCCTGCCCTCCAAAGTCCCAACCAGACCCCGTAGCTTCCCCAGAGGTCTCGGTCCAATCCACATCCCTGTCGGGTTGATCCTAGACCTGCCTCAGCGCTTCCTGTGCCAACCTCCTAAGGCTCGCAAACCCGGCTAGGGCCCACAAAAGGCACAACCCCGTCACCAAGACCGCGCTGAACCAGTAAACCCAGCTGAGCCCTTCATCAAGCTGAACCCCTGTCGGCTGGCCCCTCACTCGCGGTACCACTGCCAAAAGAGCCAGGCCTGCCAACAGCTCGGCAGAAACAGCAGTTCCATAGGACATCCCTCGGCTCAAAACCCTAGCCGCAGCAACCTCAGTAGTGCTGACCCTAGCCGCTCGGATGTTTGCCAAACCAAGGAGATGCATAACCCTCGTTCTACTTAGGGGTTTCGTCCCAAGGTCCGCTATCTGCTGCTCTCCTGGGATATAAAAAACGCGCAGAGCTCCAGCCACCACCCGCTCCCGGGCAGCGACAGCTCTCATCCTCAGGTGTCGGGATCTCCAGGATGCTCCAACCGTATCGAAGGATTTCAAAGCTGCTTGGTTGTCGCCTAATAGGGAGATAGTGGAGTCCTCCTCTATTAGTTCGTCCAAGAGCGGTTGGATCGATTCAGAGATCTGGACTGCGTGGATCATGCCCACCAGCTCCGCCTCCGCGGAAGAAAGAGTTGTAAAAGCTTGCCGCGTGGTTTCCCACGCGATCGGAACCCCTTGCCACAGAACAATAATCGACTGCATCGAGCGATCACCCCCTGGGCTGTGAGAAGCATCAGAGTACACTTCGAGCACTTTCTCCGATCGGGGAATCGCAAGCAAACCATGCTCGGCAAACGGGCTGCCTACTT